CCACAACGATTTCCACTATGTTTGTTAATTCCGGATTTAACAACTAATGCCGTAGAATCGTTTTTCTTTTCAGGTAACCTCATTTCGATCAGTCGAAGCCTTTCTGTAAGTTTATTCAACGTACGATCCACTAAAGGAACCGACTCCCACACGCTCTTAAACTCAAAATAGTCAGGAGGCAATGTAGACATTACACGACTTAAGAGCAAATCAGGTAATTCAGTTTTCACTAATTTCCTAAGTTCATCATTTAATTCGCTGAAATTACGCTGCAATCTAGCTATATGCGTTGTGATGTTTTCCGAAGAATCCTTTTCACATGTAAAGAAGTTTTCATCAATCTATCAACTCGTTGACCTGAACTCTGTTCATACACTGAAGTTAGTTTTTCCCACGTTAATCTTGCAGTCCGACATGTAGCTGTCAGATCAATATTGGCATCATTCATTGACGTGACTAAAATAAAATAAGTTGTGCCAATGCATCTGCTTTCTGGAATTTTTTTAATTCCTTCTCGTGGACACTAAGTACATCAGCTGCAGCTCCTGTTTCTGGTGCAACGGGCTCAGAAAGCGTACCATCTACCACATCAACCACCTCATGATGTCGTAAGAACAATTCAATCTGTCGTCTCCACTTGGACCAATTACTAGCTCCCTCAAGTTTTTCAACGTGTGTTTTGAAATCCATTTCCCGTCGTTTTTCCATTTACGAGTATGACAAACGATGCAAATAAATTTCCACGCTTCGCGCTCACACAACAGATATCACTTGTGCAGTTAAAAACAGTCTGGGCCCATAACCTGTTGTAATAATCACGCAGAGTTATTAAAGATAGTAATATGTAACGACAGTGAAGTTTCTAACAGGAAAAATTCTCAATTATTGGAGTAACTACTATATTTACCATAGCTACGCTTCACACTGTTTTTCAATGTTATGATGTTGTATTATATTTTCAACACCTGCGCACAGTGCCACACGTTACGAAGCTTCGTTTAGTTACCTGTCTGCCTATTTGTACAACAAGGTTCCTCATGTTTATCGGTCGCTACCTCTGCAACCATTTAAAAGGAAAATTAAAAATCTTTTGAAAAGAGATTCACTCTTAGATGGCTAAACGGTGCTTCTCGGTTAATACAAATGTTAATGTTCTTCTCTATAACACGAATTTTTTTTGTATTATTTAGTACAACCAATCTGTATTTTTCAGTTTAATGTTTTTTTTTGTGTCATTTATTTCGTGCTGGTTAGGAAAAACAGCATTATGCTGATCCTCGCCAGAATAATAAAGATTATTATTATTATTATTAAAATAAGTCCTAAGAAGTGGAATAAGAGATTTACAGAGGAAGTACTCAAATTTGGTTTACAGAATGATCTACATGAGCCTTGTCTGTATAGTTGGAGAAAAGAAGGCAAATTTGTTGTACTTGTTCTGTACGTAGATGATATGCTGATTGCCAGCAATGACAAACATAAATTGAATGAAATTGTTAGTCAATTAAGTAGAGTATTTGACATGAAGAACCTTGGGGAACCAAAAAGTTTTCTTGGAATGTCAATTGAAAGAGATCGAAGTAAGAAATGTATGAAAATACATCAACGACAGTACATAGAATCAATTTTAGAGAGATTCAATATGAATGAATCTAAACCACAAGGTACACCTATGGTTACAACACAAGTAACTAAACAAAATAAAAGACGAAAATCAAACGAACCAAAACTAAACACAGCCCAAATCGAAGAATCCAAACCTAGTAAAGCACCTTACAGAGAAGCAATAGGTAGCCTGATGTATTTGGCTAATGCAACCAGACCTGATATTGCATTTTCTGTAAACTATCTTGCCAGAAAACAATTACAGCCGACCGAAGATGACTGGTCAAGTGTTAAGAGACTTTTTAGATATTTAAGAGGCACGTCCAATTTTGGATTAACTTATAGAGGTTTATATGACAATCTAGAGGCTTTTACTGATTCAAGTTTCTGAGACTGTCAAGATTCCACATCCACCACCCAGCCTGACTACGTCTTTATGACGTTTAATTGTGGTCATCCTTTTTGTCCTATTCACGTGATATTTGAAGTCAGTATAACGTCATAATGACTTCCTAATGTCACAGCCCCATGACGCCACATATTAAGTGGTAATGATGTACAGAAATGACGTCACATATGACGATACTAATCACCTTAAAATGACCTTAACACATCAAAATAGACCTAAAAATAAGGCCAAAAAGACGATTTGTCAACGACATACTGCTTATACTTCGCGTCAAGGCAACGGTTTCAGCTCATTAAAAACTATGGTCACAAGTCACGTTATTTATTTAAAAAAATACAAAATGATTGATTCAATACAGTAATAATAAGATATATACATACATATATACAAAAAAATAGAGTTTAAGTTTCACACAATGAATGAATAATTGGAAAAGATACAGTACTGTTTTTTGACGGAACAGGATATACTATGCATTTCCCTATTAATGTTGTAGCAGACCAAACTTCATATTTATTGGACAAATTATTAATAACGTATATATTTAATTTTTTCGACTCAAATGGATATTTATACAATGAAGTTTTAGATTTAAATTGTTTCCCAACCACAAATATTTCATTTTTTACATTAACTAGAATGTTATGAATTTGCACAACGGCATTGTTACCAATGATGCAGTAAGAATCAGCATTTGAATATGAATGAACAGAGAGAGTAAATGTTTTTAGAAAAAGTCGTTTAAACTGCTTAAAATCATTGATGGATTTATCACTTGGTAATGGACCATTGTAATGATCATGTTGTACTAATAAGGAATGTAATGGATTACTTTCTTGCACAGTAAAACTAAATTCAAGCTCCAAAAGTCTACGACATAGTTGTTGTAATGGTTTGCGAGGAGATTTTATCAAAGATTTTAACCTCCCTAAGCAATTCTCAAAGGGAAAGGCTGAAAAGTTATCCAGTGCTCCAAATAAATCCACGTCATCACTGATATGACAAAGC